TAACAAATAGGGGCTCTATTATGAAGACTTGAGGGAAGCAATAAACTCATATAGATTTATTGGCTATGGTAATAAATGATGTTTCGATTCTGACAGAACACCAGCACATTAAACAGTAGTAAACATTTACATTACGAATTAAATACCGTAGAAGAATTACAACTTGCCTGGTGTGAATGCCCCACATAATTTTCTCGTAACCAAATGTCAATTCCTTAATGAAATGTCGAACAAGTCATTATGTTACTTGAAAAAAAAAAAGAAGTTATATTAACAACCGTTTATATAATCACGTAAAAAAAGCCAATCAAAAGCCTACGGTTATTAAATGACAGTATTATCATTTACCTCAACGTTAACATTTCTGCAAGGAAATATGCTTGATAACCAGTAACTCGGCGTATTAGTATTCCAAGCTGTGAAAACTATAATATGCCTTGATAACTTCTTTTCACCAGATGGATTGAATATGTCCTTGACGCTACACTTGATAAAAACGAGGCGATAGGTTTTTGACTCACATTTGGGCTCCTTCAAATTATACGGAAACCCGATTATCCCGTCAGGTCCTCCTATCGTCAGCGTAAACCTTGTATCGCACTGGTAGAAAATTGAGTGAAAAATCGAGATTCTGTTTTACTGCTTGTTTATCGTCGTCACGAAAATTGTTACGTAACAATTTGTTATTAAAAACAAAAAAACTATTTGCAGTTTGTCTATTAATGAAACCGACACTACAGTTAGACACCAGATTTCATCTTCGTTTCCATAAAATAATATTTTTCTTTAGGGCAGGTATATGACTCTTGGTACTGTTCTCTTGATAGCTACGAGCTGATTGAACATTTCTGACAGTGGGCTATATTGCTGGTTGGATTAGTATGGAGTTATTGTAATAGTTTGTGTGCGAAAACAATTAAAATAAAATAATGATGATAGTAATAATGATAACAATACTGTGCCTTTTACACGTACAAAGACTATTTTTCGCTTGGCAGCATTTGGTCGAAACATTTCTCTGAAGAAATTTGACTGTGATTTAAAAATGCAGTATCCAACAAGCCTATTATTAATAACTTCCAATCATATATTAAATTACACAAACAATAAACTCCATGCTTAAAGTTGAGTGACCATTAAACGGACTTACTTTTTCTCCATCTGTGAACAAAACGCAAAAACGTTTAATCTTCTGGGATAAGGATAAGGGGAGCAGTGACATGCTGAAAATATTGACAGACACAATGAGCATATTGACATATTAAATATCGTTATAGTTGAGACTTTTTTGTTTTAGAATAAACATGCTTGTCAACATAATAACCAATTTGTTAGTATAAATATTAGTTCTTATGGATGGTTCCTAACTTTCAAACACCTGTTCCATGCCTAAAGACATATCGAAATATCGCATTATTCCTTCTTTGGAATGCCAAAGACTTTGATAAAAAACCAATCAAAGTTTCTGAATTTTAAAAATTTTACAATGACTATTGTTACTTTTATGCTTGGGGGTTTTTTACAAGGATCTATTAATAAAAAGAAGAATATACGATAACATAAGCGTTTTAAGATACAATACGCCTTGCAAAGGTTTGTCTTTTATATTTTAACTTTGGCTTGATTGTACCACGGAAAGAAACATTTTATTGGTTTTTTTATTAAATGCGTATTTAGGATATTCCAAGCGTTTGTACACACATATACAAGATTACTACTGCCTGTCTTTACTAACGATGTAGATAGTACCGCTGCAATATAAATTGACCGGGAAAGCAACAACTTTTAACCTCGGGAGATTAATAAGTAACATCAGGTATTAATATTAATATACCTGCTTGTAAATTAAGCAATTATTATCATATTGTACATGTCCGATTTTGCAATTACCACCCCCATTGGATAACGCTTGAGAGCCAAATTACAATTTGTACAAGACTTTTTGGCGTGGGCTACTACTACTTTCCCCCAAGTGGATGCTTATAATAGGAACAAGTAAGATGGAAGCAAAACCAAAACTTTACTAAAATTCTGTCGTTAAAGCCGTTTGGTAAAATAGCCGATGTTTCTTTCTTGCAAGTCTTCTGCCGATATTGTCTAAAACGAGCGAATATGCATGTAAAATAACATATCATTGGTGTCATTGTGACAGTTCCTAAAAGAATTATCCATCGAAACTTGGAACTCCAACCAAGTAACACATATACAGACTATGGGGTGGGGGGGGGGGGGAAAGAGAAGAGTTTTCGCAATATTCCATTGAAAGGCCGACATTACCTGTTTAATTAAAAAAAAATCAAACACATTGTTACGTGCCAATTGGTAATTGATGAAATCTGATAAGATTAGCGAGACGTTAAGAAAAGCAACTTGCGCAATTAAGAATTAATGGTTAGAAACAAAGAATGTGATTAAGAATGAAATAGTAAACGAGCACGTGAAATATTGGGAGGGTAAAGGCGTCCCAAACATCGTACGAGTACGAGTGAAGAATTTAGACCGTAATAGTCAGATAATCTACAAATGGCAACACGCGGCAAGCGTAGTCTAACTCAAAACTTGTATACTGGATAATGGCGGTGTGGTATGTGGGTGGTAGGACGATATGGTGATGTGATGTAATGATATGGTGTGGTGCGGTAATGTGATGGTTAGTGTAATGCGTGCGTGGTGCGTGGTGTGTGTGTAGTGTATGCGTGTAGTGTATGCGTGTAGTATGTGTATGTGTGTAGTGTATGTGTGTGGTGTATGTGTGTGTGGAAGTGCGTGCGTGGTGATGTGTTCTGCGTGGAATTCAAAATACGAAAATGGAAACTATCCCAATTGAGATTAGACAAAAATCTTGACAAATTATTATTGGCCATAATTAAAGTTTTGTATTTTTCCCTTTATACAAAGGTCCACTCTTTGAACCGAGTTGCATATGGATGTACGGTTATAGTTAAAGTTTAACGCACAAGATCGAACATGTAGCACAATAATACAAGAAAAAACCTTCACACGAGGCAAAAAACGGGTTATTTGAAAAAAAGCTTGGCCAATGTTCTTATCATTGGCGTGTAACAGTAGGGCTTTTTTTTTATATGATTAGAATATATTTTGCCCTTTGTTCTTTAAGCGGCATGGAACTATGATGTTATGTTTACCTTGTTATCATTGTAATCGCCCTTAAAATACTTAATAATTGCGTGTCAAATTGCTGTTTGTTTGTTCATCATAATAATAAATATTTACATTTGTTTAATCGATAACACAACTTGAGAGATTATCTCAAAGAAAAAAGGTATCATGTTGTTTGGGAATTTAAAATGTGTTATTACCTAATACGAACAATCGAGTAATCATCAAAAGCCCTTTGTTCGTAGATTATCACACCCCCCCTCGGCTGTATTATTCTTCCCGACCACGTAAAAGTTTTACTTGTTATTACAAGTAACTGGTTTCGAAAGGATATCTGACATGTGTGAACAAGACAACTTTTGTTCCAAAAGATCTTCCTGCGTAATCACATGTTTGCGAGTGAGCTTTCATTAGCATCTTACTGTTGCACTGTGTACTCTAAAATCCGGAATGTAAAACAATTGCGACCACGTCAAGTGACATTAAAAGGTGATACTGACGTAACAATAATATAGCTATTTGTGGAAATTTGGATCGTGTTTACACAATAGGCATTTCCCCAAAGGAAAAAAAGAACGAGAAGAAGAAGAAAAAAAGAAAAGATGTCGTTTTTGGTACCGTTGCATTTTTTTTTGTAACGGATTTCAAGTCATCCAAAGTTGTGCATAACCGATATCAGCCTGATCTTTAGTAGTACGTCGGGCAATCCCGAATCTTTAGTAGTACGTCGAGCGATTCTTGATACTGGCCATAAATTGAGTTGTAATGCGTATCGTATCAAACAAATGTCTATTTGATTAATTGTATCGGTATCTGTTAAAAAGTTTAGCTTTTTTTAAAGTAGGATTAAACGAATGGTTGGATGGACTGTTGTTGGTATCTCCCCACCATCCACCATCCATCCACCATCCACCATCCACCATCCACCATCCACCATCCACCATCCATAATCCATCACCATCATCCGTTAAAGTTCTGCCATGTCACTCACGGCCATGTGCGGTATGTGTATTGTTTTCAAATATCGGCTGATTGGAGGAGTGGAAAAAAAGTAAAACATGAGGAATTAATTACGGGATCCCTTATTTACGGTACACCATCTATCGCTATGCTTTTTACCAATACTGTGCAACAGAAAAACCAGAAGTATGATAAATATAGCAACACATAGCAGCAGTGGTGTATTGTACAGTACAACGTTTACATTTGAAATGAAAATTAAATGCAACTGTTATAGTTATACTTATATATAGCAAAGTTGTATTTAATTTATAATTACATTTATGTTTATATTTATAATTATATTATGTATACATGTTTCGCATGGATTTTACTTCACTTTTTTGTGTTTGTTTGTCATAAAGTAATCGCTTATAAAAATCATATGTATACCGAAATGGGTTGGATGTAACACAGAATACACTCCAATAAAAGGTATCACGGATCTTTTGATTGATCGGCCCCACCTAAAAAACTGAAACATCCCCCATCCTACGGCTAACTTTTACATGCCTCCCTCTTCATCATAACGGACCGAGTAGGAAGGGATAAGACTATACACAACCATGGGAAATTGTATGTACAGATGCAGCGATGGCGAGACTGACATTCTTCAGCAGTCGGTCGACAATCAATTGTCAAATATATCATCGGTTCATAGCAGCTATGGGACAAGTACGTTCGGACTACCCAGTACCGCTACTACTCCTACCACCGCCACTACCAGGACATCGATCGCTCAAAGTGTCGCAAGCAATGGCGATAAATCGGGTTCGGTTTATCCGATACATAATAACGAGGACGAAATAAATCGGCTTCAGCTGATGCATTATATGGTGAGATACGGTTGGGAAGGCAACTTTTCAGCCCCGATACATAACATGCTCAAAGCTGGGAAAGCAAGGGTACTGGATATAGGGTACGTTGAATAATAACAAATCCTGTCTATTAAAAAATAATAATAATTTATTCATGATATACGTACGCAACACAAGTATAACTCGGAAAAAATACTTGTTATTTTATATAGTTGTGGACCCGGAACATGGATACTCGAGATGGCAGCAGATTATCCGCACTCTAGTTTTATAGGACTAGACAACTCGCCGATATTTCCATCGGCAATCAAACCACACAATGCGCGATTCTATCAGGCAGACGTTCACAACGGGCTACCGTTCGAAGATGATACGTTCGACTTTGTCCATCAACGGTTTCTTGCTCTCGCTTTGAAAGAGGAGGAATGGGTGCCGCTGATTGATGAAATTGTCCGGGTTACAAAGCCTGGCGGATATTGTGAGATAATGGACTGTGATTTTGAGATTGATAAGCAAGGACCGGTAACCGAGTCTCTTATTGAAGCAGGTAAAAAAAATAAAGTCGGGTCGGGGAAGGCGGACGTTGATTGGGTTGGGGGTTGGTTGGGGTTGGTCGAGGTTGGTCGGGGTTGGTTGGGGTTGGTCGAGGTTGGTTATGTTAGCCTGTGCCTGGAGATATTCAAGCCATGATATTTATACAGCTGTCCGTATATTTTGTTATGCACCCACTCACTCCACTTTTTTGGCTTTACAATAGTGAGAACTTGTATACAAGCCAATGGAATTAATCCGTACATGCGCGAGAAGATCGAGGAACTGTTGAGTGATACGAAGATGTTTGTCGACATTACCGTGAACGAGAAAGTTACTCCTTTCGGCAGCTGGGGTGGCAGATGGGGCGAGTTGGTAAGTGTGCATGACATTGCGCGTTTGTAAGGAATACATGTAGAATATACAGTAAACACTCATTCGCTCACTGACTATGCTACTTGTTTACTGTTCTAGGTTAGCGATGGTCTTCGAATGTCTGCCAACAGTTTCAAACCCATCATACAGCCGACGCTCGGACTCAGCGATGAAGAGTACGTCAAGTCGGTCAATCATTCCGTGATGCAGGAAATGAACGAATATCGGTCTGAAACAAGCATGTACAGAATATATGGAAAAAAGAAGACTACAGCAGTACCGACAGAATGAAAAAAGTCGTTCACGACACTCTCACACACACTCGCACAGACATGTACAGACATGTATCTCTTTCTCGCATTTTTTTTTTTTCACTTTCAGTAATTTGATATTACGTTATCAGAGACGAAAATAATAATTGTACATTGAAGTCGATTATCATCAAATAGATGCCAAACGTGTACATATGGTTTTGATAGGATACATACTTTCTTGTTATAGATATGGGTATACACTTAATCTGGTATATAGTAATAGCACAAAAATCTCGAATGGACCAATTTTTTTTATTGGTGTATTATATGATTATTATTGAATAAACAAAGAAGATCGAATATTAGTTGAATGGTTTAGAAAGTGTGCACGTTTTCATTACGACTTATGGTTGAATTTTCTCCATTGAAGCACGGGAAAGAAGGGGGGAGGAGGAAAGGGAGAAGGCGTATGTTTAGTGTGTATCAAGTATACATATTATCTAATAATCTAGCAACTGTTGGGGTATGTTCCCCCCATTCACACCAACTATTCATGGGGAATTGTTCCCGGGCATTTTTCACATTGTTGAATTTCGTTACACACAAAGTTAATTGCCGAAATTAAAGTTTCCTCGCCCCCTTCTGTGTTACGACCATCAAATGTGACAAGTTAATACAGTAAACATATATAAATTGGAATACACAACTATCCAATAAGCTCGTATCGACATTAAACTCAATTGAGGGACAGTGTTTGCAGGGAGGATGATGGGAAGGGGCAAAAACTTTAATATTAAGTATGGTATCAATTTGGCTATATACAGTACGTAGTATTTGTGTGATCGTCTCGTAAGTGCTTAGTTATAGGATAGCACAATGATAGCAGTGCCTAATTAATAGCAATCAGCACCTAATGTAGGTGTTCTATCAATTAATTGAATATCATATACAAACAAAAAAACCGTTAAAGTAATAATGGACTTGTAATTAATTATCCCAGAGTTAGCATCCCATTGTTGAGGCGATGTGAAACAAATTTCTGGACAACGCAAATTTAAATTCAGCAATCTTAATCGATGATCCACCCCCCGATCTCTTTCTCGCTCAGTTGATTAATACACAAAGTCAATTTTTCGATTCAAGTGTTCACTGGTCGATTTACTTACAGACTTTTTCATTTCCTTCCTATTTGGGTTATTCCTTGTTTTGACAAACGTTTATTACTGCAGTTCATACTTCTAGTACTTTTGCGTTAGGTTTAATTCTCTGTTGTTAACTGTTTCTTCTAAAACTCCTTGACATTTCTCCAAAAAAACCCTGCATTTTGACCTCACACGAAAGGGCGTTGTGTTGGATGGCGAGTCAATCAGCAGTCAATTGCCGATTTTGACTAGTCCGATTCTCAGCGTTCAAATAATTACAACATGTTACACGCTCAATTCGGATCATGCGGCGTGCATAGCTTGGCATCATGTGTTGTGATGGGGCAACGTTGCAGTTCGGACTTTGACGAGATTGTATGTCGAACGTTTCTTGTTCTCTTAAAAAACAATGTTAGTGTTCAGCGTATCACGCAGATTTGCAAAAGACAATAGTTATTGTTAAATAACGTTAATTACCATCATACTTGTAAACAAGCCAATAATAAAAGCTTATGGAAATGTGCACAATGACGACTTTTGTTAGTATCAATAAATGGATAACAGAGACATGCGAGAACGTTATAGATGAGAGCCACACTCTTGTGTGAAAGCGGACGGACAAATGTATACAAAGACCTGCATAAAATCGAGTACTGGTTTTGTCTGTTCTGAAGTAGTAATTCCCGATCGCATTATCGGTACTACACGGAATGGTCGGAGCATCAACAATCAATGATGCATAGTGTAAGAGCATGCTGCATAATAACGCAACAAAAATACGATCGTAAGAGTTTGATAATTAATCGGTATTTTTAATATTAAACATTTGTTTACTTATTTGGTTTACAAACCATGCGTCTGCCAATTATAAAGTCACACGAGAATTATCCTAATAATGGCTCGTATGACATGTAAGATAAATTGATTGTTTGGAGAATGTTCTTGACAGACTCGCGAAATTACGTATATTGTACACCAGGCAGTACAACAGCAACAACAATAACAACAACAATAGCAACGCTAGACAGTACAACAACAACAACAACAACAACAACAACAACAACAACAACAATTACTACAACTACTACTACTCTGACAACAACCTTATTGGCCATCGTAAAAATGGAAATTCTCAACATTCATCCTATTCATCACATTATCCGATCAACTTCATTAAAATCAAAGAACCGCCCGTTTAAATTACAAACAAGACAGTTAGACAATGTACCTTATCAGAAAAAACGTTCTCTTACATTTCATTAAACGTTCGTATCTCTTACGATTAGCGCGCAGAAATGTAAAACTTACATTTACAGCAAACATAATGAAGATTGAGTTCAAAATTAAAAGATATACGCCATAAAAAAGTGTCAAACTCACTGAAAGTAGTCAAATATACATTTCCAACTGCTAGAAACGTTGATCGGATAACAGAATAAAGTCAGACAATGGACAATAATAGCACGAACGAATTTGATAACTAACCTAGAGTAATAAAAATACTGCACTTACAGTAACGTGCAAAAGTATCCTACCGGTTGTATCATCTAAACGTACATAATAATAACTCCTTAAATTTTCCA